GTTGTTGCCTACTTGAAGGAATCTTGTTAAATAGCCTATGGCTCAGTATTTTAGATGGTAGATTTACTTTTACTTCTCTGCTGTATCCATCCTTTCCTTCTACTGTATCATTTTATCACATCCGATCTTACTCCTCCTCATCTATATCACATAATCTTTTAGAAATAAACTAAACATTAGATTTGTACCATGTTTGTACTTTACTATCACCCGGGGATACTTATTTTGGATGTCATTAGGATCGATTGTTTTGTTTTGAAGTAACGAGGGGGGGGGGTTGTCAAGGGAAAAAAAAGGGCCACTCAGTCTTGTGGAACATTGGCCACGTTTTTTAGCGGAGTTTCAAAAAGCAGTAAGAGGATCTTGGGTCTGTGACAACAAGGCACACATAATCAGGAACCTTTCTGCACCATCTGTAAACAATCCTTGTCATCATCACCATCGTTGTCGTCGTTCCTCTTTAAATAAAGCATGCCCTAAATGTGCCAAAACGTTTTTATTTTCAAGGGCATCATAGTATAGTGTGAATTCCCCTCCCCCTTGGTCATCACTCCATAGCAACCATCACCATTCTATAGAATCAAGGCATATTCAAGTTTATTTCCACAAAACAAAAAGAGATCGACGCTAACCCTACAAAGAACTATACTACCAAGTAACTTCCACTTGCCCAGTCGGTTCCTCTTCCATGGATTCATTTCAAAGGCTTTGGTATGATTCCACTTTGTCGTTTCGTGTCATAGGTCATAGATCGGCGGTTAGTTTGGGCGGTTGTGGCTATAAAAAGAAGGGAAGCGGGTCAGGATGATGATGTTACTGAGCTTGGCGGTTCGACTTACTTGACAAAAAGTCTGTAGGACCATCATAGGGACGGATTTTAGCATAAGCGTTCGCAACATTGTCAATGTACGCTTTCTTGGCTACAAAGAAACATGGGATGAGTTCTAATGGGAGATGATGATCTGTGTGTGTGTGTCTTACCAGTAGCAGGGTGTTCAAAGATAATCAAAGCCCGGGTATCATCTATCCACTTAATCCTATAGCCACCACGAACGTTTTCATATTCCCGGAAGATATCATGCAGATGGTGCGTCTTGAAGGATTTCGGAAAGTCGCGGCAGTCCAAGATCACAGTAGGTTCGTCCACCACAGGCACTTGAGCTATAATCCAGTTAGTCATACTTGTTGCTCCCTCCCCCCTCCCTTTTTTTTCCTCTCCCTCTCGATATTACCTGGAGGCTCAGTAAAAGGATCCATGATTCTACTTGCCCGCTTGTTCTTTCTGGCCAAGATAGCAGCTTCTTCATCAGAGCGATCGTATTGACGCAAAAGATCGTCCCATTCTTCAGACCCCGTATTATGCCGGTCTCCATGCGACAAGGACTCCAACATGGCACCCAGCTTCTCCATCTTTGGATCGTAGGACGCCATCGAGTTATGGTTGCTGTTGTTGTTGCTGTGATAGTCCGAGTAACGATGGTGCATGGCTGGTGTGGAGGGGAAGCTGTTGTCTTCAGAGTAGTCTTCGTCTTCCACTGATCCCCCGCTGCTACCATTGTTGTGCTGCCCCTTACGCCATCCTCGAAGTTGTTGTTGTTGTTGTTGCTGTTGTGAATGACGCTGCGTTGATCTACTACTTCCCACAGTAAAGTCGGAGCTGTACCGCACACCGCCGTTGTTGCTGTTGAAGTCCTGACCTAAAGAGCTGCTTTTGTTTCCAGGTCCATCGATAGAGTAGCGCTGTTGATTGGGTCGTAGGCCTTGATCAGGTCCGTCGTTGCGTCGATGCACAGGGACATAGGCGAGCATGCTGCTTCGTTTCAGTTTCTTGTCAGTGGCAGGTTCCATCATATATATAAAACAGATAAAGATGTGTCAAGTATGTAATGTATAGAGAGAGATGATGTGTGTGTGTGGAATGAGAGGACTGATAGGAATCAAGGGTATAGATTCAAAGAAGAAGAGAGAATGTGTGTGTATAAAAGAATGTGTTTAGGCTTTTGTATGAGCAAAGTATGTTAAGAGTTTCAAGGGGATTGGTATACGACTTTAAAAAGTTGAAGGCTACAAAAGGAATGAAGATGAGTAAGAGGATAAGTATATAGATGAGAAGAAGGGGAAGAGTAAAGTGATGTCAAGGACGAAAAACAAAAGAGTAATAAAAAAGAAGGGAAAGTCGGAGAGAGAGGAAAGGAGTGAAATGTAAAAAAAAATCCTTTTTGACGCCAGCAGAAACTTTCGGAGTTGAAATTATGCCCAATTAGCAAAAATCATAGCCCCTCCAGGAAATTCCCAATCATTATCCCTGCCAGCCAAATACTGAAACTCCGCTTCTGGCGACAAGAACCCACCTTTTTCCGTCATTCCTTTCTTTGCTTCTTCTTTACTTCTTCATCACTTTTTCTTTCCTTCGACATTGGCACCGCACCATTAACGACTCGCTCTCTATACACTGACCTTGAATGACCAACGCAGGGTAACTCTCTCCTTCTCACTGCCTTGTCCATCTTTGACTTACCATGGCTAACATTACCTTTTGCATCATTGCTCCTTTTTTTCTTGGTAGATCGAATGTGGTGACAACGGATATAAACTCTACGGCAACAGGACCGGATGGACGTTTGGTTAGATGGGGATTAGACGCAATGAAAAACATAGAAAACCCCTCACAAAATTTTTAGGTGGACACTTTTCCATTGTAGATTCCCTAGCCATCGCAAAGCTAAACATCACTAATTCGGTGCCTGCCTCCCTTTGCCCGCTACCACTGACACTACTTGCGCTGCTGGTCACCCCTCCCTTCCTTCATTCTTTTAGTCATGACACTAGGTTAGTCATTCCAAGTCCTGGACGGTGCATACCTTTCCAGTCTCCCCCTCCCCCCCAATATAGCTCAAACCGAACCTCATTCTGTCAATAAAACTTTTTTGAAACCATCTCCATGACTCCCGCCTCAATTTTTAGGGCTAAACTTGAGCAAAAGAACCAAAATTCCGCTGCTGTAACTTTGGCTTCACCTGGGTTTTTGTGTACAACATGGATTTTCCTCTGTGGCAAGTGCATGAATGAGCGAATCTCACTTTTTGACTTGATTACTTTGCCTTTTGAGCTCTATCCACACATACACCATGTGTGCCTGGCATCCTCCAGCTCAGAAAACTATAAAGTTGTTGAATTTTTACAAACCCTGTTTTCTGAAAAAAGGATGGATCATCCTCCATGAAAAGTGACACTTTTGTTGGACCTTGATTTTCTCGTAAAACAGGTAGCAAAGCTCACCCCAAATTTTACATGAAGCAAGCAAGACTTCTTATCTAACGAATGATGTAAAGGATTTTGTGTTTAGGTGGATGAATGAGCGACTTTGAGGCCACTTGAATTAGTTGCTGTTTAGAGCCTTGATGAAGTGTTCGGAGAAGCATGCAGCATAGGCACACTTCAATTTTGGTATCATTCGATAGATATACAATTCATTTTGCTCCATGTGAAATTTCAAGATGGGTTATACATCTCGGTTTTGAAAAACAGAGTCAACTCGTCCTAAAAATGAGCAACTGGGGACATTTGTAAATGTCCTAAAGAGTCGAAGGCCGCCCACCGATTTTATTTCAAACCCCGCCTTAAAACCCGATCGGTCAAGACTTGGCGCATCAGCACAGGCCAGAGTTTTCATGATGAATGGGACCTGAACAAAAGAGTAACGTCATGGAGATAATTTCAAGTAGGTTTTATTGACTGAATGAGACTATGGTCAGCTATATGTAGGACATGCAATGGAATAACTAATCTAGTGTAATGGGCTACGGAATGAAGAAAGGGAGAGCTGGCTAGTGGTGCCAAAAGGATCAGTGATAGTGTCCAAAGGGAGTTAGCTGAGGAGTAGTAATGTTCAGCAGCGCAATGGATGGAGAGTATACTATGAAAAAGTGAGTTCATCCAAAAAAAATAAAGGATTCCCCCACGCTTTTCGTAATCCCTTGCGTCCAATCCCTAATCCAAATCCATGTCCAGCCAGTCCTGGTGCCAGAGAGCCGATACCTGTTGGCGTCTCATTTGATCATCTAAGAAAAAAAAAGGAGCAATGGTGCAAAAGGCAAATGTTAGTCATGGTTCGACAAAGATGGTGAGAAGGAGGGAGTTAACCTGCGTTCGTCGTTCAGAGTCGTCGTATCGTTCGTGATGCGGTGCTAATGTCGATGGAAAGAAAAAAAGTGATGAAGAAGCAAAGAAGGAGCAAAAAAAAGGAATGACGGAAAAAGTGGTTCTTTGTAGCCAGAAGCGGGTTTTGAATGTTGGGCTGGCAGGACAATGAAAGGAGGTGGCTATGGTTTTCCTATCACCCCATGTCACTAGACTGCACCTTTGCTTGTGGACATTATTTATTATCAGCATACCGTGGGTATATGGGGGCTATTCGAGCAATCTATCATCTAATCAAAATCCAGGCATGTGGAGGGGTCCATTACCAAGTCCCATCAATAGACACCATGGGTACATCATATAGCCAATCGATACAACCCGGCTGAAACAAAAACTACAGACAAGAAAAAGTTGTCAACGATGGATGATTTCACATGCTTCACAAAATCTTACCGACACCAACCACACCAAGTCCAACTGCCGTGTTCAGTTTACCGGGCTTCTTGTTCAACTTCCATGCTTCATGTAATGCGTATCCTCCAAGACCACTAAATGCTGCTGCCCCAGTGAGTTTACAAGGGAGACAGTCTTTGTATTCCGCCTTGGTCACATCGTCTGTCACTGTATCGTATGTTTTGCCGTCTCGTCCCATAGTTGATCGTTGAATCGAAGGAGAACAAAAAAAGAAGAGGGCAAGAGAAAAAAAAAAAATTGGCCCGACATTTTTTTGAATGCCGATCTTTTTTAACATTGGCCTGACCTTTTTTGAGCGCCGATCTTTTTCAGCCAATCACAAAGCTTACATTTAAACTCCGCCATTTTTTGTTTTTGTAGCAAACACCTTTAAATCGGAGAATAAAGCCATCATGGCGTAATGGATAACGCATCGGGCTCCTAACTCGAAGATTGCGGGTTCGAGTCCCGCTGATGGTTCTCCTTTTTGCTCTTCTGACGAAGTTTCGGGGTTACAAATGTCATTGGCAAGTACCGCGGTGATTGGTCGCTTGCTTGTAGTCTTTTGACACTGCAAAAGTTTGTTTTTGTAATGCGCATCAAAACTTTTTTGGGCGAGAGTTTGATCTTTTTGTGTGTATGATAGAAGAAAAGGGAGACTTCTATCGGCATGTGGCATGTCCAGCGAAATCTATGCGTATCCCAAATTCTGTGGCGAGGGGAAGTCGGCGGGCTTGAAAAACTAGAAGTCTCCTATTTTCCACAAATCTCAAAATTGTAAACTTTTGACCCCCTTTTATTGTAAAGAGTTGCTTGTTTCTCAGAACTGCCATAGACAACCCACTGTCAAATTTTTTAGGGAAGAAGATGCAAAGCATATCTATCAAACGATACCTAAAAACAAACACTTTTATGTCGTATACATCCGTGAAAGCTATCAAAAGCCCCCAAAAGCGACTGATTCGAGTGGCATCAAAAAAGACAATTTACTCAAAGAAACCCGACTTTCTTGGTATCAGTCGATAGATAAAAAGCACCTCTGGTTCTATGTTAAATTTGATGGTGGGCTGTCTATTTCGTTCACAAGAAAAATCGAGTCCAAGAAAAACGGGACTTGGTCTGTCCTTTTTCCAAATGGCGGGGGTTGAAAGATTTCAAAATTTTAAATTTAAGCTTTTTGAAAACAGACCGGTTTTGAACCCCTAATTTTTTGTAAAGAGTTGCTCATTTCTCAGAACCGAGATAAACAAACTACCGTCAAATTTCACAGGCCGGACGATGCAATGCATATCTATCGAATCATACCTAGAAACAGACACTTTAATGTTGTATGCATTCGTGAGCGCTACAAGAAGCCCCCAGAAAGCGACTGATTGGAGTGGCATCAAAAAAGACAATTTACTCACGGAAGCCTGACTTTCTTAATATCAGTCGATAGATAAAAAGCACCTCTGGATCTATGTTAAATTTGATGGTGGGTCGTCTATCCCATTTACAAGAAAAATGGAGTCCAAGAAAAGTGGGACTTTTTCCAAGGGAATGGTCTGTCCTTTTTCCAAATGGCGGGATTTGAATAAATCGAATCTTTGCTCTACCCAGAGCCCAAACGATCGCTACCAAGGCAGAGATCTATCAATATCAACGTAGATCTGGCGCCACTGAGGGTGTCGATAATAGATGCTCTTCGCGGGTGGGGAGTGGTCGCTGGCCGTCTGCAAAATTCAGGATTCGCAAAATTTACCTTTCCCTGACATCTCCTGTCCTTTAGATGTTCTCCTCCGCAGAGATACCCGTAAAAGACACAAGATGCTCTTCCGTTGCAATCTAAAAATGGTGCTTTTATCCTTTTCTAAGCTGAGCTAGTAGTGGTAACTACACCAGTGCCAGCTGTGCGCTAAATTTGACAGGTGTGGCCAACTTCAATAGCTTGTGCTTCGTCGCATGGACGGGCTAGCACTCTATTTTTGACTGATAATGAGGGGTATCTTTGCATTGCTCTGTAAGGCACCCTGAAATGTTCCAGGCTCGGGAAGGGACAGCCAAACGACGCAGATAAGCATTTTAACAGACTCTAAACCCGCCTTCCAACTCCGATCAATGCCTATTAGGCACGTTAGTTGTCCAAATCGTCAATGTCGCCATAGTGATACTGACATCGGCTATTAGGTACAATGCATATGTAGCCTACTTGCCATTAAAGAGCATAGGGAAAGCTTTGGACATTCCTATTGGAAGATACATATGGTATTGTTGAGGAGATTCATCCACTTCTCTTTTGTGTCACACAACAGTTGATCGCCACCTCAGCAAAGTCCCTAGCAAAATCTATAATTAGAGTCCTCCTAAGCAGGGTATGCCAGTTTTCAACAACACTTTCAATACGAGGACATTTACGCACTGGTCTTGGTGCAGTAAAGGGAGAGGAGTTACAGGGACGAAGCGTGCCACTCTAGCGGTGTTTAAAAAGCACATCACGAGCGGTGTTTGAAAATCATGTTTTCTTCATTGAAAAGAGAAATGTTTATGTTTGTATTCTCACCTCTCTCTTTCCTGTTAAATCCCAACTCCATCTCATGGCCTCCAAAAGGTAATGGTTTGTTGTGATCAATAAGCTACTTGAGCTAATGCTTCCCTCTTTTGTTTATCCAGCGACTTTATCTGCCGGGTTAGGTATCGCAATCGACTTCCATCCATACCGTTTCCACCAAAGCTCCTAGCAACACAATCATTGGCGGCTCGCAATGTCCAATACACCACCAACAGCTTAATCGAACAAACCCCTCACCTTTTAACGTTGGATTCATCTTCAAGTATACCTTTCGACAAACTCTTGGTAGATTACTTGGACATGATGGAAACGAATCCTGATGGTAAGTACATTGTTTCTTCCTCTTTCCACCACCGTTGTGACTAATCCTTTAACCTGTTGTTACTGTTGTTGCTATGAATCTAGTGGCGAGGATTAGTGCGAATGTAGCAGATGAAGATAAATTGTTAATGACACCACCACGGGACGAGAAGGAGCAACTGAAGCAGCATGGACGACAACCGAATGTAACCTGGTTACGACGATCGGAATACATTGCGTCTGCGGAACGAAAGCAAAAGGTAGCGACAAACGGCTCGACAGAGATACGATCCAAGCTCACGAAACAAGATTTGGAAGCACACACATACCGTACCTACGAAAGTCAGATCGCCGGTGTCGAAGCCACGTTTGCCCCTCACGATACGACTACTCTGCGCCATCCAAGGACGAAGAAACGTGCGGTGCGGTTAACCCCCATCCTCCCCGACATGAAATGCTGGGAAACTGTCTACACCATTGGTCAATTCCCGGCTGATCCTGCTGACAACCAACGCTTGAATAAACGCAAACGCCAAGATACAACTTCATCGAAACAACCTAGTGAATTGGATGCTGCCGATCGGGGTATCTTACGTCCCATCTCGAACCCTCACGACGCCAACGACAGTTATCTTATCTGGTTCTTGCCCGACAATGGTAGCTCCTCTGTGTTGAAGCGACAAAAGACTGATGTGCAACAGGTATTGGATCAACATTTGAACTTTGAAGCTGTGCGCGACTACACCTACCGAAACGACAATGCTCCTGGCCATCAAAACCTTCTGCTGACGCTTGGTTACGATGACAACCAACAACCTGTTATGCGGTATAACCTGGTCAAGAGTAAACTGGTGGCTCAGAAGAAAAGGGCTTTGGTAAGTGTGTGCGTGGATGTAGGGAGATATGCTATAGAGTGATGGGAACCTTTAATAGACTAACACCACCTTCGCTCTATCACTTTTTAGGCTCGGGGTTATAGAAGCATGGACGACTATGAAAAGCCTAATGTACTTAGTGTGACTTATCAATAGTTAGTTAGTTAGTTAGTTAGTTACAGTTTATGGGTGTGGTGTGGGCAAAGATTAGAGTGCTGATTGTATATTCCTTGACAAAATAAACCCTTTTTGTTCAACAAAAGTCTACATGATGGGATGCAGGGTTAGCTTTTATAGGATGTGTTTATTGACAGTAAGCTTAAAGGAAGGCTAGACTAAGAGGGGAATGAGGGAAAGAGAATAGATAGTCTAAGAGTATACCAGCAGTCCATTACTTCTTCTTGTTCTTGTTCTTCTTCTTAGACTTGGATGATGGCTTGGGAGAGGTTTCAGGGGATGAAGGGGCAATTTCATCGTCTTGATCGACTTGTTCTTCTTCCACCACGATGTGCTTGACCGACTTGCTGGTGGCGGAGATGTCTTCGCTAGCGGATGCGGCCTTTTTTACCTTGTCATCACCTTTCTTGGCCTTGGATTTCTTGGTCTTTTCGTCCTCGTCTTCTTCAGTAGTGTATTGGAAGACCTCGGTAAGTTCGCCACGGACAGCAGCAGTGATCAGCACAGATAGGATACAGGCAGGCGACAAGTACAGCAGGGCAGGTTGAGCAGCATGGAAAAAGTGCATCACAGCCATGGTGGTGGCCAAACCCAAGATGTAGGCAATCAAACAGGAGGTGAAGTAAGGTTTGCTGAAGTTGGTCGATCGGAAATTGCCGCTGGGGTTTTTCTTCCATGAGATATGACGATCGTAACGTAAGCATAGAGCAACAAAGATACCTATTGAAGATAGACCAAAAAGTTAGTACTGATCCTCTGCCCTTCCTTTTTCTTCATATGATGTCTTACCAGGAATCACGATATCACCCAGTCCAAGCATAGCAAAGGTAGTCTTGACATTTGTATCCACAAAGTAGGCAATGATGTCCCGAGGCCAGATCACCTTGATGGGGGCGTCAAAGTTCTTGGCCACGCTGACCATCACTTCAGTACCAAAGACCCAGAAGATATCATACAGGAACAGTCCGCTAAGTAAGATCATACCTGTCTTGAAGGAATCCAGTGACAAAAGTTGAATCGCATTGACGGAGAAGGCAAGACCAAATGCATTAGAGGCGATCCAGTTCTTGGTTAAAGAGTAGAACACCGTCAATCCAATAGAAAGACCAAGAGACAAAAAGTGCACATACGTCAACTTCATCTTGAATAAATCTAACCAGCAAATTCCGATCCAATGCAATGCAATTCGTGAGTCAAAGATACGATACCCAGCTGTATAGGCACTTACCTTTTCCTTTGGTGCTCAATGTGAGCTTGTATGGCTGGATGTATTTCAATAAGGAGGTGGGGATCGTCTTTTGAGCCACCAGTAGACCCGTCTTTGCCATGGCCATCGTGCCCATCAAGCCAAAGTAGCCAGTGATCATCAAGTTAATGTAGTCCTTGTCAACGTAACGAAAGATCAGGTAGAGAGAGAAGAGTGTGATGGAGCCCATGATAGGAAACATCCAAGCATCGCTAGAGCTAAGAGTTTCAGACACGCTTTCTTCATCGTCGGAATCTTCCAAAGGCGAGGTCGATTTTTTCTTGGGAGCATTGGCTGGTCGCTTCATGCCGGTCAGAGACGCAAACGAGCCTGC